GGGTTCATCAAAAGGGTTCATCCTCCATGTTACCCTCATGTTTTACTGTCCTATCGGCACAGATGAGGTCGGTTTATGTTCTACGAACACTTTTAATTCCTTTTCATTACGTCCAGAAGAATCGTTTGTTGTGAATGTGTCTGAATTTACCCCAAACCGGACAATTCTGATTAATAACCTGCTGGATCTAAGGGAGGGGGTGGTGTGGTGGTTAGCACCATGGCCTCACAGCCTGAGGGTTCTGGGTTGGAGTCCCCGGGGGAACCAGGACCAGAGGGTTCTGGGTTGGAGTCCCGGGGGAACCAGGACCAGAGGGTTCTGGGTTGGAGTCCCCGGGGGGAACCAGGACCTTTCTGGGTTGGAATCCCCGGGGGAACCAGGACCAGAGGGTTCTGGGTTGGAGTCCCCAGGGGAACCAGGACCTTTGTGCCAGAGGGTTCTGGGTTGGAGTCCCGGGGGAACCAGGACCTTTCTGGGTGGAGTCTGCATGTTCTCCTGTGTCTGTGGGTTCTCTCCGGGTTCTCCGGCTTCCTCCCACCGTCCAAAAACCTGCATGTTAGGTTGGTTGGACTCCAAACTGCCCTTAGTGTGAGTGTGTGTGGTTGTTGGTCCTTGTGTGTCTCTGTGTGTCCCTGTGATGGACTGAAGAATGTCCAGGGTGACCCCGCCTCTCCCCATTGGCTACTGGGATAGACTCCAGTCCCCCACAACCCCATTAGGGAATAAACGGTTATGAAAATGGATGGATCTAAGCGATTTCTCCAGAGATGGGGGTGATGTAATAATCCCTTGAGACTCTGCGGCCAAAACTAACCGAGCTGAGTTGAATGCATCTTTAATGGTATTGTTAGGAAACACAAAGGGGAGATTCTAATTTGACAGAACATGATTCAAAATGTGGCAGACGTCCTTTTCTCTTGTTTGGCATTCTGTGGTTTCCGGGATTAAAGTGGCTTCTCATGTTCTCAATGGGCTGTAAAAGCTCAATCCATGTATTCTCTGTTGTGAATCTCTTTTCTTTGTGTCTCTATTAGATGGCATTATACTGGAAACTCCCATCCTGGTAGGAAGCCATGTTATTTGGATACTGTTCATTTATTGCCAAGTTCATTTATCGAATCCTCACTAGTTTGATATGAATGTATTCAGGGATTCCTTTTTGAATCGTTCCCTCAGTACCAGACGGCTTGTTCCTTATATGGATGTGGGGGTCACACAGCCAACGTTCAGCCTCAAGCCCCCCCAGAAGGGTAAGAAACCTGCTACTATCTGTACACAGACAATTAAATTCAATTCAATTCAATTTTATTTATATAGCTCCACATCACAACAACAGTTGTCTCACAGCGCTTTCCAAACAGAGCAGGTCAGACCCTACTCTGAAGATAACTACAGAAACCCAACAATTCCCACCATGAGCAAGCACTAGGCGACACAGGCAAGGAAAAACTTCCTTTTAACAGGCAGAAACCTGGAGCAGAACCATGGCTCAGGGTGGGCGGCCATCTGCCTCGGCCGGTTGGGGGCGAGAGAGAGGCAGCCTACAGTAACACATAGACTGGATGAAAAATGGCAATGATATTAATACTAATGATGATGGTAGAAGTTATGACGGCAATAACACTATGCAGAGTAGTAGCAGACTAGGAACACGGGGGAAGCAGGAAACTCCCAATCACAGATCCAGACTCCACAGCTCTAGGAACACCTACAGGAAGTGATAGGACAACAGGCCATAAAGATCCAGGAAATGTTGCTTTTTGTGACCCGACTTCCATAACAACTGCTTTCATTTCTACAGAACCGTCGGAGCTTTTTGTGAGTCTCGATCCAGGAAGCCGTGCCACTGCACCAGGTCCCAGTGCCTCAAACTGTGAGTCCACCCACCTGAAGTTACTTTAGACTCACATCATTACGTTTTCTTTCTTCTGGCACATTAAAGAAATCTACATGGAGTTTTAGAAATAGCTGTGAAGCATGTGAATACAAAAGTCCTGAGTCCATGCTAGTCGGTGCATATGAAGTATTTAGTATTTAACATTATGCACAATAGGGATGTCCCGTTCCAGCTTTTTTCACTCCCGATCCGATCCCAATCCCGGCCTATCAGAGCATGTGTTAAAGTTTAAAGTTATTTATCTACTTACTTAGTTGTCAGACTCATGTTGAACAGGGATTTACTCTGATAGAAAGAACCTTTTGGAGGGATCCTTTTCTTTGTCCCTTTCAGACAGAAATCAAATGTTCCTCCTAAAGTTGCTTTTAAAATTTGATGAGTGCATTTTCTACATTTGTAGACTTGTTTGTGGTGTAATGGTCTGAAATCACTTATATTGTTACAGGCATTGCATTAAGAGTTGAGTTGAATAGAAAGGATTTGTTTTTTTTAAAACTTCATTGGCGTTTGTTGGGCTCTCTGCTTGTTAGAGAGCAGAATGCTGCTTTAAGGACTCCATTATGCCAGTTAAGGTGAACTATTACAATATTACTATTTTTGCTATATATATATATATATTACTATTACAATATTACTATTATTACTATATAGATATTACTATTACAATATTACTATTACAACTTTAATTTCCTAAAGGAATCTTCCAAAGGGATCAATAAAGTACAAGTCTAAATCTAAGTCTACAAATATTATTATCTTTATTTACTATTCCAGAATTAGCATTTAAACACGCTTGCTGTTGAGAAACTTTACTCTTCAGTTATCTTTGCAGACCATAGCAGATATGATTTAGTTTGACTTCTTAACTCTGGTTGGGAGCTACATGTTAATCCTCAGAAACTACCGAATCACATAGAGCCCGGAAAGAGCCCGGGGCACACCCGTAAACTTTAGCGTAGCATGAAACCCATTTCTTCTCTTTCAGGTACTGTGAGTGTTTTGCCAACGGAGTGATGTGCAGCAGCTGCAACTGCTCCAACTGCCACAACAACGCGAAGCACGAGCCGAAGCGCCAGGAGGCCATTAAGGTCAGCGGCGCCCTGTTAGCACGGTTAGCTTAAGCTAGTCAAACTACCTCATCGTTTGAATACTCAGAAAACGTGAGCTGACAGCAAACAAACACGTTATGTTTATGTTTCTGTTTATGAATTTAGCAGATGCTTTTGTCCAAAGCGACTTACAAAGTAGACACAATTTTACAGTTATGATCAATATGACAAAAAGTTCTCCAGAGGAAACTCCCCAGTCAGAATTTCATCAGACTACTCAAACCCCGGGTGGAGGACAGCCGTTTCAAAGGGAGATAAACCCATGTTTCGGTAAACGAAGCATCAGAATCAAGGACTGTCCACAACAAAGAATGTTCATTTAAAAGTCCATCAAATGGCTAAAGGCCCCAGGACATGTTTATGTTTACGCATTTAGACGCTTTTATCCAAAGCGACTTACAAAGTAGACACAATGTAACAGTTATCATCAATATGACAATAGTTCTCTAGAGGAAAATCCCCAGTCAGTCAGTGGAGACAGCAAAAAGATCGAGGGAAGCAGAAAGAGGAGTAGAGGGTCCAGAGGTATGAGTTAGGATGAAGGTGCTCTGTGGAGAGGAGTTTAGGAGTTTCCTGAAGATAGACAGGGACCTGCTGCTGTTCTTTTAGCTCCTAGAAGGTTATTCCTCCACTTTCAACTGATCATTCATCAGACTACTCAAACCCAGGGGGGATGGCAGTCGTTTCAAAGGGAGATAAACCCATGTTTCAGTAAACAAAGCATCAGAATCAAGGACTGTCCACAACAAAGACTGTTCATGTAAAAGTCCATCAAATGGCTAAAGGCCCCAGGACATGTTTATATTTATTCATTTAGACGCTTTTATCCAAAGCGACTTACAAAGTAGAAACAATGTTAAAGTTATCATCAACTTAACAATACCAGGAGCTGGGCAGCGTTTTGGGTTTTGGATGACCAGATCTTTCTTATGTCTAGTAGTGTGAGCTCCAAAATGGAGAGACGGAGGTCACATGACCCTTAAAGGTCAGCTGGTCATCAATCGTGAAACCTTTTGATGGAGTCTGAGACGGGGATCCAGTCTGGATGTGAACATTGTGGTGTATGGTTGGTTTATATAGCTGGAAAAACAAGCAATTCAGTTTTAGAGAGATTCGGTTGGAGGGGATGGGCTTTCATTAATTTTGATACGTCAGAGAGACAGTCTGAGATGGTCATCAGGTGGAAATGATGGATAGAGCTGGGTGTTGTCAGAATAACAGGTGTATGAGAAACCATGTGATTGGTGTATATGGCAAAGAGAAGAGGTCCCAGTACTGAGCCTTGAGGACATTGGATTTTAAGTCTTTTTTGTTTCCAAACTTTGGCCCCTTTTTATTTCTGAGGAGGAACATTCTTTTTAATCCATATAAAAGTGAGTTTCAGGTGGATGTTTATCTGTTTTCAAAGGGGCTTGGAAAAGCTAGGGATTAAACGGAGAACTCCAGCACTTTGAAACGTTGGTGGTTTTGGTTTAGGCGGAGCCAGTTTATGTTTATGTTTATGTTTATGCATTCGGCAGACGCTTTTATCCAAAGCAACTTACAAAGTAGACACAATATTACATTTATCATCACTATGACAATAAGCTATATAGAGGAGAAACACTGATCAGAGTCAGTGGTGAGATAGAGATAGAGGTAGAGGGACCACAGAAGGAGTTGTGGGGGGGATAGAGGTACGGGTTAGGATTAGGATAGGAGATGCTCAGTTGCAAACTGAAAAGACAAAGAGGGACAGTACACAGTTCACTGTGTCCAGCAGGGGTTATTACTGACTTCCGGAGTCAGCGTCCAGCACAGAGGGGCGAGTGTTGTGTGAGAAAGCTGCTAATCGGTCAATAACAGCTGGAACCTCGGGATCGATCCTCCCTAATCGGTGTTTGAGCCAGAGAGACAGGCGTTATGCTATTACCGGATCCCATTCATCTGCACCGCTACTGGGCAGTACCGAGAGGGGAGTATGTTCTCTTTCATTCACTATTGACTCTTTTTTTTTTACCCTCACAGAGAGTCTGAACATAACATAACAAAACAGCCACCAACCCAACTAAAATCTGTCTTAATTTCACCTGAAACCCTATTTTTTAAGTTTATTTACACCTAAAAAAAATGATAGTGATTGTGAATCCAGTGTTGTCTGCACACAGATTTTTGTTAGTTGTGGCCTGTGGCTCCTTTCTGTCTGTGGAAGTTCAACTTTTTGGGGAAAATGAGACATTTTGAGACAGCTTTTCCGTGATTTTCGACTAGTTTTGGATCTGGCTTGGGATCCTGGACCCAACAGAGGGGACAAAGGACCAGAACCAGGACCAGAACCAGGACCAGAACCAGAACCAGGACCAGGAGTAGGACTAGAACCAGAGCCAGCTGCCTAGTTTAATTATCAAACAGATGTTCAGTGTCACGGACACCAGCAGCTGGCTGGTTGCTCTTGGTTCTTATGGAGTATGACATCTCTTATATGGATTGAGCTTTACTTTAATTGCTATCTTGAATCAAAAGCATATCTTCAACATCACGGCCCGGTGGAAAGTGACCATCATTTGTACTCTAATTATCGCTCACAATCAGTGAATAGACCTTTTTCTTTGAGAAAATGGTCAAACGCTAATCAGCAAGACATGGTTTAAATGGGCTCTGTGACTCATTGACTGGCAGCCATTTTCAGAACAGAGTCCCATACTGCCAGAGTTTTTTGAGCATTTTGACTGATTTTTCAAGAGCCACAGAATAGTTTGTGCTATGACTATGTAAACACCGAACACACCAAAAGAAAGAGTAGACTCTCTTCTTTCATCAGGAAAAAAAAATGTGTTTGTACCTTATTCCGTTCTTCCTCGACTTGCGTCTCACCGGCGACATGTTCTCTCATAGCGAACCATTGCGTTTTTTTTATTTGCCTACAGTCTATGCTCATCTCCCATCAAAAGTGGCACTGCCCCCTAGAGGGTCAATTTGTTACTACATACTCTGTCTAGAAGCCGATATTTACGGACAAGCTTTAGCAGATCGTCCCCCAGCCGCTCGCGTTGAAAAACATAAAAGACGTCTATAGACGTCTTTGGCAGCCAATGAGTTAATACGGTAATCTATTTAGTGAAATCAGCCTGCTCTGAAGAGCATTTTTTAACTTTTCTACCTCATTTAACAGCGAAACAACACTCGGATAGCAAGGAAACATTCAGCTGCTTCTGTAAACACTTGTGAAAGACATTTTTTTTTGTCTCTTTGCTTTGGATTGTCACCTATGATGAGCTCCACCCCCCCCCCCC